ATATGTCTTGGTGATTTTCTTTTGGGGTCCACCCTTCCTGGACTTCTTTTATTTCTATCTTTTCACTTTTGAGGATGTTAGAGAAATTTTCTTCCAGTAATTCTTCGACTATTTCCTCTGTGGACTTGTGTGTCTCGTTTTGTTATGGAATGCCAATAATTCTTAGATTATTCCTTTTCATGTTATCCAACATGAATCTTAGACCTTCCTCTGAGTTTTTTACCCTTTTTTGGTTTTGTTCTTGTATCGTAGTGGAAATGAGAGACTTGTCTTCCAGCTCACTGATTCTTCCTTCCATCTCATCTATTCTACTCCTCTGCCCTTTCAAGGAGTTATCTCTTTCTGCCATTTTGTTGTTGATTGTTTGGACCTGTTTCTGTAGGTTTTGGATTGTTACCAATGCTGTATCTATCTTGTTTGATTGTTCCTGTAGCGCTTTTCTGACTTCTTCCTTGTTTTTCTCAACTCCATTGTAAAGTGTTTTGAGACATTTTATAATCATTTTTCTGAATTTTTTCTCAGGTATTTCCAAGGCCTGCCCTCCTTCCAGCATGGCGAGAAGGTCTACTTCTGGTTCATTTGTCTCAGATATTTTATCTTTTTTCTGGACATGTGTCAATATTGTCATCTACTTTTGCTTCTTGGACATGTTTAATGTTTATCTGTTGCCCTAATAATTAATTATGTGTTTTGGTAATAATTTTTTTGTTTTGTTTTCTGATTGCCTCCAGGGAGATGTGATCAGGATGTGGTCTTCCCTTTTCACTCTTCTTATTGCTTAACTCAGAGTATCTTTTACAGGTGTTGCATGTTTCCCTGGTTTATGGCAGCTGGTATTGGTTCTTGTCTGGGTTTTGGTGTTTTATAAAGTGTTATTGCAGCTTGGCTAATTGGCAGCAGTTGCTGACTCTTTTCTTATAATGTAGGGGGACAAAGAGTCCTCCACTAGCAGAAGGGAGGCTATGTGACAACCAAACAATACCAGCTGGGTAGAAAACAAAGCCAAAATCAAAAGCGAAAACAAAAGCGGAGTCCTCCTATAGCAGAAGGGTGGCTATGTAATAGCCAAGCAACACCAGTCGGATGGAAAACAAAACAAAACCAAAAGCAAAATAGAAAGCAATAGTGATAATGAGAGAGAAACTAAGCAGTACAACAATAGTAAAAAACAAAACAGAAAATACAACAATGGGGAAAAGTAAAAAGAAAAAAAAAGGGGCAGGGGCAGAAGAAAGAGAGGAAAAAAGCGTAGCTTAATGTAAGTAAGTCTTTAATGTTCTACCTCTCTTTCAGTCCCTTCTGAGCTCTTCTCCTTGTTGGTATGCTGTGGAATCGATCATGACCCACAGCGACCCAGTATAGGGTTTCCAAGGAGCAGCTGGTGGGCTCGAACCACAGTCCTTGCAGTTCAAAATTCTTTGCAGTCAGCCACAGCAGGACTGCTTTGTTATTAGTGGTAAACAACTACCCAAGGGTGTCTCAATTTGGGCTGGCCTGTGCTCTTGAATAAGTCAGGCTCTAATCGCACACACACACACACACACACACACACACACACACACACAAAAGGGGGGGGAGAGGCGGGCGAAAGAGGAAAAAAGCGTAGCTTAATGTAAGTAAATTTTTAATGTTCTATCTCTCTTTCAGTCCCTTCTGCGCTCTTCTCCTTGTGGATATGCTGTGGAGTCAATCGTGACCCACAGCGACCCAGTATAGGGTTTCCAAGCAGCAGCTGGTGGGCTCGAATCACATTCCTTTCTGTTTAAAAGACTTTGCAGTCTGGCACATTAACTCAACGATCCACACAGCAGGACTGCTTTGTTATTGGTGGTAAACAGCTAGTCAAGGACGTCTCAGCTTGGGCTGGCCTGCGCCTTGATGGACGGGCCTGAGGCTCGGAGGCTGGGCCGAAGGCTGGCCTAGGCCAAAGAAGTCGAGGGCGGGGGCAGTTGCAGTAGGCAGATGGTGTGGCTATGTCTGATGACGTCTACAATGCCTCTCTCTGTCTCCCTGTGCCGTAAGCACCCCAATTTGCCCTATATCCATGCTGACAATGCCCTACGTTGCAATGAGCCTCCCAGCCCCTGGGATGGGCCATGCTAGTTCCTGTGGCCCCGCTTGCTCTCCGGGAGCGTTAGCCCTCTGAATGGGTCCGCTCAAGCCCTGTGCTCCATGCTCTGCAATGGGCGGGGTGGGAACCGAGTGCAGGCGGGTGGTAGCTCTAAATGCTTGTAACTCCTCAGCAGTTTGATTTTTTGAAAAAGCAAGCTCATAATGTTAAAGCCTAATGTTTTATGTTTGCCCAAAGGCTGTCTGTCTACCAGTAGAGGCCCCCCCTGTGCGATACCACCCCGTATTCTCCGGAGACCGTGTACTTTTATGTTTGCCCAAAGGCTATCTGTCTACCAGTAGGGCCCCCCACCCCGTGCGATATCACCCCGTATTCTCCGGAGACCGTGTACCTGTGCTGCCTGGTCAGGGAAGCACCGGAAGTCCCATCTTCCTGTTATTTTTTGTTTTCAGCCAAGGTCCATCTGACGTAGATGGATATTCCTCATTCCATATCTTCATTTGAATCTGGCAGTTCCTTGTCAATATATTGTTGTAGCCTTTTTTTGAATTACCTTTAGCAAAATTTTACTTGTGTGTGGTATTATTAATACTGTTGATGATTTCTTCATTCCATTGGGTCACCTTTCTTTGGAGTGGGCAAACATGGTTCTCTTTCATTCAGTTGGTCAGGTGGTTGTCTCCCAAATTTCTTGGCATAGATGAGTGAGTGCTTTCAGTGTTATATCAATTTGTTGAAAGATTTCAATTTTTATTTAATCAAATCCCAGATCCTTGTTCTTTGTCAATGCCTTCACTGCACCTTGGACATTGGCGCTTGATAATATGCTACCTCTTGAAATGGTTGAACATGAACAATTTTTCTTTTGATGCTTTTTGCATCATTCAGTATATTGCCTATAAAATCTTTCAGTATTACAAGGTGAGGCTTGAACTTTTTCTTCAGTTTTCTCAGCTTGAGGAATACTGAGTGTGTTCTTCCGTTTTGGTTTTCTAACTCTAGGTCTTTGCATATTTGATTATAATATAATATCATTTGTCTTTTAGAACAGAAAATTTGAAATTTTCTGTTCAGCTCTTTTGCCTCTTCATTTCTTCATTTCTCTGGAGAGCTAGTTTCAGAGTATCTTCTGACATCTGTTTTCTTTCTTTCTTATCTGAATTACCTTTTGCTTTCTTCATGTATGATGTTCTTGATGTCATCCTAAAACTCCTCTTACAACTCTGGTCTTCGGATGTTAGTATACAGTACATCCAATCTCTTCTTGAGATAGTCTCTAAATTCAGGCAGGATATACTCAAGGTCATATTTTGGCTTTCATGTGTTTGTTTTAATGTTTTTCGGCTTCAGCCTGTACATGCATTTGAGTATTTGATGAGCTCCACAGTCTGCCCCTGGCCTAGTTTTGGCTGATGATAATAAGCTTTCCCACTGTTTTTTCCCACAGATATAATCAGTTTGATTTTAGTGTATTCTGTCTGGGGAGGTCCACATGTATAGTCACCTTTTATGTCATTTAAAGGTCTTGCAAAATTCTATCATGCGATCTCCAGCATCATTTCTAGGACTAAAGCCTAGGGGAAATAAGTAAGGGTGCATGTAAAGATTTCCATACAGGGATGTGCTTAAATATTATTTTTGAGGAAAAAAAAAAAAAAAAAAAAAAAAATTAGAAATAAATGTTCCACATTAGGAACCTGGATAATTACATTGGGAGATTCTCATGTTCTTGCTTTATGCTTCTACTCATTCTCAGTAGAGCATTGCTCCTCCCTGGAAGGAGGTTCAAATCTGAAGGACTGTTGGCTTCCGTGAGTTTAAATGGACTCAATAGCAGAGGGTTTTTTTTTTGTTTGTTTGTTTGTTTGTTTTTGTTTTTTTCTTCTAATATTGGCATGTGTAAGTATTTATGTATTAAAGTTAACATCTTGTAAATTTTTCTCTTATATAGTATAGTTAAGATTTTATATATTTTATGTTGATTGATTTTTGAAGTTATGTATGTATTTCAAGATTGTTGTTGTTGTTGTTGTTATGTGCCGTGGAGTCGGAAACGACTCATAGCGACCCTGTACAGGGTTTCCGAGGGTGTAAATCTTTACGGGAGTAGAAAGCCTCATCTTTCTCCCGCGGAGCAGCTGGTAGTTTC